GCCCCGCTGACCGAGTCCCTGTGGGCGTGGCGAGGTCTCTCTCTGGAGGAGCAAAGCCATGGCTCCCTGGGCCCCGGGAATGCTCCCTCCCTGAGCCTGCGCACCCCGGCAGCCAGGCTCCGCAGGGGCCGACACCTCAGGCCAGGGCCCTGGAATGCCAAACCACTCTCCTCAGAGGACACCTCTGGGGCCCCGTGAGAAGGGGAGCCATTCTGGAGGGTGAGGTAAGGCACTGATAAAGGGCACAGGGCCCCCCCGGAAACTCAGCACAGGAGGGCAGGCTGGGACAGAGGGAACCAAGGCGGGCTTCCTGGAGGGGGAGGTAAGACTTAAACGATGAGCAGAAGTTGGCCCAGCCACAGTGGGTGGAGGACAATCCAGGAGAAAGACAACTTGTTCAAAGTCTCAGAGGCAAGAGAGAAGGTAGCTTTTTCAAAACACGAGAAGCGGACGGGTGCTGCCAGTTCCAGGGTGTGAGACGGGCCGTGAGAAAAGGCAGGAGCCGAAGATGGATTCCATCCCCTTGGTGAGGAGGGGCCACAGAAGGGGTGCTGACATCCCGGGAGCGGGGAGCGGCTCCTTAGGAAGATGCGGAGGCAGCTGTGGGGTGTGGGTGTGGAGAGAGAAAGGCTGGGCGATGGAGACAGCCAGTAGGGGGCAGCGGGAGAGGGAGGAAGGGGAGGGGACCAGAGCATTCAGGCTGGCTGCAGGGAAGGGGATAGGGAGAGGGGGAGGGGGAGGTTAAGGATGACCTTCTGGCTTGGGGGCTGGATGGGTGGTGACACCATTTGCAGAGATGGCGGTCACACAGGAGGAGCAGGTGGTGTGGCCTATTGGTTTGTTTTGTTGTTGTTAATCCTCACCCGAGGATATTTTTCATTGATTTTTAGAGAGAGTGGAAGAGAGAGGAAAAGACAGAGGGAAACATCGATGTGAGAGAAACACATCGATCGGTTGCCTCCTGCACACGCCCTGAACCAGGGCCCAGCCGGGGAGGAGCCTGCAACCGAGGCACGTGCCTCTGACCAGAACCCAACCTGGGACCCTTTGGTCTACAGGCCGATGCTCTATCCACTGAGCCAAAGTGGCTAGGGCTGTTTTGTTTTTCTAAAAAAAAAAAAAAAATATATATATATATATATATATATATATATATATATATATTTTTTTTTTTTTTTTTAAATATATTTTATTGATTTTGTACAGAGAGGAAGGGAGAGAGATAGAAAGCTAGAAACATCGATGAGAGAGAGTCATCGATCAGCTGCCTCTTGCACACCCCCTACTGGGGATATGCCCACAACCAAGGTACATGCCCTTGACCGGAATCGAACCCGGGTCCCTTCAGTCCCCAAGCCGACGCTCTATCCATTGAGCCAAACCGGTCTCGGCAAAAAAAATATATATATTTTTTATTGATTTCAGAGAGGAAGGGAGAGGAGAGAGAGAGAGAAACATCTATGACAAGAGAGAGTCACTGATCGGCTGCCTCCTGCATGCCCTCCGCTGGGGATGGTGCCCACAACCCGGGCACGTGCCCTGACCCAGAAATGGAACCTTGACCTCCTGGTTCATAGGTCGACGCTCTACCACTGAGCCACACCAGCCTGGCGGCCCCGTTTGTTTTACAGGGTCCCCCGCTAATCAGCACACGAGGGACAAGGACCAAGGGCCCAGGACCTTGCAGCACGCGTGGCAGCAGGTTTCACCTCACTGCGGCCGCTGTGCCCGTGAGGTCTGGGGGTGCGGAAAAGGAGGCCCGTGGGCAGCCGCTGGCAGGCCAGCCTCAGAGGGACTTGCAGGGCGTCTCCTGGGACCTAGGGCTCAGGACACCCCTCCACGGCCCCCAGAGACACCAGCATCCCCTCCGATCACACCCCAACCCCCTGCATCGGAAAACCTGCCCCTCAAAGCGGCTTTTGTACCAGGGCCCCACAGGCAGGGATGGCGGCATCCAGGGAGTTCCAGAACTGGCAGGTCACAGGTGCCACCTGCTTTGGATGGACTCGTATTGGCCTGCAAGGCTGGACAGCAGACTGAGAGTCCCTGCTGTGTAGCTGCCCCCATCCCCATGGGGGCTCACTGGGCGGGAAGCAGGGCTGAGTGGGGCAGGGTGCCCCCAGGATGCCCGGTTTGCCACTGTTTACACCAGTCAACGCGAAAGCATGTCCCTATTTTACTACGACCTCATCCAGTGGTGACATCAGCGGTCCTTGCCCCGTCTGAGGACGGAGGGGCGGGGGAAGGGGCTGCTGTCCCATCATGTGTCATCCCCGCACGTATCCCCGCCCCTCACATGTCCGTCCCCCAGTGGCTCCTGGGAAGCCAAAACAGTGACCCAGGCTATCATAGGTCTTAAGCTGACCCCTGGGGGACAGCGGGGACACAGCAGGGCCCGGAGGCCGGGCCTACAGGATGAGGGCCTGTCCCAGGCCGGGCCCCCTCTGCTCCCCACTCAGAGGAGCGGCTGTGGTCTCCCCTCCTGGCCTTTCGCCACAGGGAGCCCAGAGACCAACGTAACAGGAGCCAGAGGCAGAAGGGGATCCATTCACATCATTCTCATCGCGGGGCCTGGGCCTCTAGGCTGTCATGGTCCATCACCACAGGCTCCCCCTGGACCAGCAGGCTGACCTTTGAACTGTTCCCCAATCCTCTCCCCCCCCGCCCCCTCCCCCCAACACACATGCAAGCTCGAGGTGAGGAACTGAGCCCAGGTCAGCCAGGCTGTCCCACTGGGTGCTCAGGAACAAGGCTGCCCCCGTGTCTGGCGGTCAATTGCCATCTCGCTGGGCTCTGGCCACCTGGAGGGCCAGCCCCACGCGGAGGGAGGAGAAGGGTTCACGCAGAAGGAGCTTATCCCCAAGGGAACAAAAGCCTATTCGCATGTGGAGTCCTGAGAGAGGACACGAGGGAAGCACTGGGGGCGCTGAAACTCGACTGCCGTGGTCTTCGCTTTCCTGCCACCCTCAGATTTTTGTATTCTGGAAAAACAATACTGCCTTCTGCTGGAGACTGGGTTATCAAAACGCTTCTTGTACAACGAGATTCAAGATTCACAGAGCTTCCAGGCCGGTGAGCCCGCTTAAGGCGGGCATGGGAGAAGGCACGGGATCTCTCCGCCACCCCCCCACCACCACTCCCGGCCCCATGCAGACTTCCCATTTGGCTGCTCCCGAGCTCTGTCCTTTACCACTAACTGACAATAACAATGAGGAAGAGAGTGGAGAAATAAAACGGAGTCACTAGAGTCAAGCTGCTAAATTAACGAAGGTCACATAGACGGAGACCGGAGGCAACGCTTCTGTTCTTGTTTGAACCGGCCTGGGAACCTAAACTCCTGAACTTTCCAGTCCTGCCTCCGTGCCTGGACCTACACCAGCTTCCAGATTAGCCTCCAGCACCCCCCGAAAGGACTGCGGAAGGAACATTCCGGAATGTTCTGCATCCAGACCGCCTGACGTGCCTTATCTGGAGGATCACGGCTCGGGCCCAGGCAGAGGCTGGGACTGCAGGACCGGTTCCCGTCAAGAAGGCAATCTCTGCTGTACGAACCCTCCGCTCCCTCCTTCTCCACCACACTTCTGAGCATGCCTAGTCCCGTGGTCGGCACACGGCGGCTCGCGAGCCACATGCGGCTCTTTGGCCCCTGGAGTGTGGCTCTTCCACAAAATACCATGGTCTGGGCGAGTCTATTTTGAAGAAGTGGCGTTAGAAGAAGTTTAGGTTTAAAAAAAAAATTGGCTCTCGCCAAGACCGGTTTGGCTCAGCGGATAGAGCGTCTGCCTGAGGACTGAGAGGTCCCGGGTTCGATTCGGGTCAAGGGCATGTACCTTGGTTGCGGGCACATCCCCAGTGGGGGGTGTGCAAGAGGCAGCTAATCGATGTTTCTCTCTCATCAATGTTTCTAACTCTCTATCCCTCTCTCTCCCTTCCTCTCTGTAAAAAATCAATAAAATACATTTTAAAAAAATTGGCTCTCAAAAGAAATTTCTATCATTGTGCTGCTGATATTTGGCTCTGTTGACGAATGAGTTTGCTGACCACTGGCCTAGTCGTTAAAGACCCTTGGAAAATAAAACTTTATCCCCGTGCCAAAGCCTCCTGACTCCTTCTGCGTTCATTCGACAGGAACGCAGTGTCTCCCTGCGTGCTGCCCGTTGTTCAGTGGCCTGTGAACCCGCATCTGCAGGCGGCAGCAGGGGGACAGGTGGCCTGGGTGCCCCGAGGGGGGCTGCCCCCACGTGGGGCCGTCTTGTGGGGCAGGGCCCTGGGCCCTGAGTCTATGGTAACTCTGGGGAGACAGTGTCAGAGTCGAATGGAATTGCTGGGGACCCAGGTGTGTCGGAGAATTGGGGAACTGGTGGCGGTTGTTTATTTGGGGATAAAACAACCTACAGGGACCTGTTGGCGGAGGGGGTTATGGCCCAGGGGAAAAGACAAAGACTGCCATGCTGCCCCCAGAGTCTGTCACGGTCCCCCTGGGCTCAGCTCCTCCCTGGGACAGAGGAGGGCCAAGGTGTTCTGTGAGGACCCAGCCCCTGCCTTCTCGGCTGTGGCTTCCCAGGGCCTTCTTGGCTCTGCTGCCAAAAACTATTTTAAAAATATATATATATTTTATTGATTTTTTGCAGAGAGGAAGGGAGAGGGATAGAGAGCTAGAAACGTCGATGAGAAAGAAACATCGACCAGCTGCCTCCTGCACACCCCCTACCGGGGATGTGCCCGCAACCAAGGTACATGCCCTTGAGCAGAATCGAACCCGGGACCTTTCAGTCTGCAGGCCGATGCTCTATCCACTGAGCCAAACCGGTTTCGGCCCCAAAACTATTTCTTGTCTTGGAAGCCAAAGGGTCCTCACAGGAGGCTCGGGGCCCCCAGACATGGAAGCGGTGAAGCCGAGGCAGGAAGACGCGAAGGGCCGGCGGGCGGGCCAGGCGGGCTGCAGAGGGGCCACCGCTCCTGCCGAGCCCGGCGAGGTGGGCCGAGGCGGCCGCTCTTACCTGCTCCGCGCAGTCTGGGACCTCCGGGGCGCAGGGCGGCGTCCCCACGCTCTCCATGGACAGCACGTCCCTCAGCAGCTCCTCGCAGCCTGTGGACAGACGGACAGACGGACGGTGGTGGTCAGAGCCTCGGCCTGGCATGGCAGCTTTACTTCTGATGGACAGACAGGCCTTCGGGGGGAGGGCTGCGGGAAGGCAGAGAGCCCGCGTTTCCAGGAGACCAGCGGCTCATTCAGAGGCAGCGCTGGGACACCCCGGCTGTGGAGAAGGCAGCTCCGGGCCCTGCGGAGGGAGCTGGGACGGTCCTCGCCCTCCAGAGGTGCTTTCCCTGGGACCAGCACTGACAGGGAATACGCGGAGAGTCTCCCAAACGGGGAAGGCAAGCGGGGGGCGATGGGAGCCAAGGGGGCCTCCCTCGAGGAAGGGGTGTAAGACAGGACTGCCCGCCTGCCTTGCAGGGACTCCGAATGCACCCGTGACCCTGAGGCTGAGGCCCTCTGCAGCCCTGCAAATTCCAGGCATCTCAGAGAGGGCCCCCTCACGAAGGCTCCCCCTCCTGCTGACTCAGTGGCACAGGTGGCCTCCCTCCGAGGTCCCTGAGCAAATGACCCCAGATCATATCAGACCAAGCAGGTCAAACTTGCAAAGTGCCCAATATGGGCACAGGACAGGTTCAAACAACTGTTCAAACAACTCCACTCAGAGTCCTTTACCTGCTGAGTGCAGTGCCCTCGGCTTCTCAGCTCACTCCCTTTGCCCCTCACCTCTATGGCAGTCATTCCTGCTTCCGTCCCACCCGCCCAGAACTCGGGGTCACCCCACAGAGGAGGATGCACCCCGACAGGGAAATGTGGGTAACGGGAAGGCCCCGGGACTCCTGGAAGTAACTGTTCTCTCCACCGCCAGGGGGCGGCCTTGGCAAGTCCACCCGCTGGAGGCTTAGGCTCCTTTCTCTAGGCTGCAGGGAGGGCTGTCAGAGGGGCCACATTCTGACATCGTATTTTGGGGTCTCTCACCATGGCCTTTGCGCTGGGGAAAAAGAGGGATTTTGTGTTGCCCCATTAAAGGGGAGGGGCCTGGGAAAAGGAAGAATTGGGGGAGTTTAGGGGAAGAGAGGGGACAGGAAACAAACCAAGGAAACTTAGGCGGGACGGAGGGCGCTGGCGTGCCCGGCTCTGCCCAGCTTTGCCCAGAACCGCTGTGTGGAAACTACGAGGCCCATGTCCTGGGAGACCCCTCGGGAGTTTGGTCATCTAGAAGGGGTGACCTCCTTCAGGAGAAAGGAAAAGGGAAAAAGAGGGGGTCCTTCCCCAGGAGGGACAGACAGCGGGAAGGGCAGAACGGCTGTCCGGCCGGCCCCAGCATGCCCAGCTCTGGGTTCAGGACTCTGTGGGGCGCTAGGGGGGAGAACCCGCTCCTGGAACCATCCCGGACTCCTGGGACCCCCATAGGGAGGGTCTGAGCGGAAACCCGAGTCATGCCAGCCTCGCCCACTGGACAGGATGGCGGGAGCCCCCAGGCCCTCCCCCGAGATGACCTCACCTTTCATGGCGAACACTCCCCGGCAAAAGTCCTTGAAATTGATTCTCCCCAGGTCGTTGGGATCCAAATACTTCACCAGTTTTTCCACCTGCGGGAAGAGAGAAGTGGCAGGAGTGAGACCCCAGACCCTCCCCAGAGGGCTCATGTTGGGCGGGGAGTGCTGGCCAGGAGGCTGGGATGAAGGGAGGGCTCGTCAACTGAGCCAAGGGGCTGCCTGTGGCCCTCCTGGTCCTCTCCCCCCTCAACCCGGGGTCAGCGCCGCCCCAGGCCACAGTGGGGCCACGTCAGTCTCTGAGGTCGACAGCCCCGAGCGACCCCGACTCGCAGTGCCCAACCCGGTCTGTCTGAACCCGAGCTCCCGGCCAAGCCCTCGAAGGCGGGCACGTGGAAAGCAGACACGCGGATTTTTTAACTTCGTGGTTTCTCTCGCACAAAGCCAACTGAAACTCACTGCGGAAACTCTCAAAAAGAGAATAAACCCAAACCCTGCCATTCCCCACTTATCTTTTCAACCCACAGGTTTTTGTTTGTTTGTTTGTTTTTTATGTATTTTTATTGATTTCAGAGAGAAGAAGGGAGAGAGATAGAAACATCCATGATGAGAGAGAATCGCTGATCAGCTGCCTCCTGCATGCCCCCGACTGGGGATCGAGCCCACAACTTGGGCATATGCCCTTGACCGGAATCGAACCCGGGACCCTTCAGTTTACAGGCCGATGCTCTATCCACTGAGCCAAACTGGCCAGGGCTCAACCCATAGTTTTAACAACTTTTTAAAAAATGTATAATTCTGGGAAACCCTTGGTCAAATTCCCCTTTGTCTATACGAAGCTGTCATTATGTCAGCATCATCGGGACTGTTCCCTCTCACCCACATCCAATCCACACCCAAGTACCGAATCCTAAAGCTGCCTTCCTTCCACCGCACTCCTGGGATCAGACTGGGCACGGCCATCAGCATCGCTCTTCCTGACTGTGCAAACCCCCTCGTTCATCTACCCTCCTCCACTTCCAGCCCCTCCAACTCATTCTCCACCCCGATGGGATCATGTCATCTATTCCTCTGCTTAAAATCCGGTAACTGTCCCTGCACTCAGGGTGAAATCCAACTCGGTTACATGGCCTGCAAAGCCCTATCTAACCTGGCCTCTCAGGCCTGTCTCCTCCCACTTTTTCTGTCACTCGCGGCATTCCAGCCACACAGTCAACTCCATCAGCAAACCAAGCTCTGTCCTGCCTCAGGGCCTTTGCACATGCTCTTCTCAGAATTTCAACTGCTTATTCTCCCCATTCATCATCTGACAACACCTATTCACCCTTCAGGTCTCCCTTTGTACCTCTATTAAATGTTTCTCCCTCAGATAAGCACCTGGCCTCTAGTTATAACAATAAATGCCAATTATGTCCACGAATACCATAATTGTGAGCTTGATGCTTTTTAAAATAAACAATAGTGCTCTAACTGGTTTGGCTCAGTGAACAGAGCGTCAGCCTGCGGACTGAAGGGTCCCAGGTTCGATTCGGGTCAAGGGCATGTACTTTGGTTGTGGGCACATCCCCAGTGGGGAGTGTGCAGGAGGCAGCTGATCGGTGTTTCTCTCTCATTGATGTTTCTAGCTCTCTATCCCTCTCCCTTCCACTCTGTAAAAAAAAAAATCAATAAAATATATTTAAAAATTAAATAAATAAATAAATAAGCAATAGCGTAGAGTACATAGGGGAGTACTGATAATCCTTGCTGGGTTTGCGGAGGATTTCACAGGCTGCAGCGTGGTGCTGCACAAAGACCATGTCTGTTTTCATCGCCATTGTGTACCTAGTGGCTCAACCCGTGACTGGCACACGGTCGGAGCTTCATAAATATTGGCCGAATAAATGACTATCCATGGTTCTCCAAAGCATCTAAGTTTTTAAGGCTTTTGATAATAGCTGCCAAATCGTTCTCTCTATAGATGTCGTAAGTCCTCCATCAGAGCAACTTGCAAGCTTGGGTATTTTCCCCAGTTTTTGGCAATGGTCAGTTTTGTCAGAACCATCTTTTCTAAGAATTGGGGACATTTCTCCCTGCACCCCGCCCCCCATGAGACTCTCCCCGCTCCATGGCAGTTGGACATCCTCCAAGGGCTCCACACTGCAAGAGGGTGCCGGCCAGGCTGAGAGACCCCACCCCGCAGTGCACAAATTTCATGCACCTGGCCTCTAGTTATAACAATAAATGCCAATTAAGTCCATGAATACCATAATTGTGAGCTTGATGTTTTTTCAAATAAACAATAATGTAGCAGGCGTCCTCAAACTTTTTAAAGTGGGGGCCAGATCACGGTCCCTCAGAGAGCTGGAGGGCCGGACTATATGAACTACTAATTCCTACTGTAACACCTCGGCTGCGCTCACTGCCCAAAAAACCTGGCGGGCCGGATCAGACTCCTCTGCGGGCCGCATGTGGCCCGCGGGCCGTAGTTTGAAGACGCCTGATAGAGCATACAGGGAAGTACTGATAATCCTTGCTGGGTTCATGGAGGATTTCACAGGCTGCAGTACGGTGCTGAACTCTGGCTGTAGTTAGTCTCATCTCATCCTCACAATGACCTTGACAGTAGCTACCATTGAAGTCCCCATTTTACAGCAGGGGAGACTGAGGTTCGGAGACGGTAGACACCGGGGGAGTCACACAGTGGTAACTCCTCCCGGACCCCTGCCCGCTCCTGCCCTCCTGGGCTCTTACCGACTGACTGCACTACAGAGCTGTTTCCTTTTTCTTTGTTGAATATGTTTTTATTGATTTCAGAGAGGAAGGGAGAGGGACAGAGACAGAAACATCAATGATGAGAGAGAATTACTGATCAGCTGCCTCCTGCACGCCCCCCTACTGCGGATCAACCCTGCAACCAGGGCACGTGCCCTTGACTGGAATCAAACCCTGGACCCTTCAGTCCCCAGGCTGACGCTCTACCCACTGAGCCAAACCGGCTAGGACTGCAGTGTCCTTTCGGTTCCCCGCCGCCTGTGTGTGGAAGGAGCTGCTTTCACCTCTGTGGCTGGAGGCCCTCACTCGGCTCACCGAGAGCCTCACCTTCCGGGACCAGGTAACCTTTGGCTGGTGCACCAGGGGGGTGCGTCCCGCGGACCCCGCCGTCATTGTAAACACGGGGAGGCCAAGTCCCGGGGAGCAGAGGGCTTGCTCAAGGTCACAGCAAGGTCAGCAAATAACCAGCTGCACATGGTCTTCTGGGGAACCAGGCCACGGGGCTGGGGGCCTGCCTGGGGGCACCCCCACCACACAGGCTGGGTCCCGGGCACTCACTCGGGGCCAGGAGCCGTGCACGCAGGGGGCCTGGCAGGCACTGAGCAGACAGGGAGCAGCGGCGGCTGTCACGGCTCACACAGCTGGCCCGCGGCTGGCTGCCAGGAAACGGGCTGCTCCCCGCAGTCACAGCGGGCGCTTTTCTTTTGGGGCCACTCCATCGCCAGGCTTCCCCTTCTATTTCTGCTGCCTTTCTCTTCGGGCTGGTTCCTCCCCCACTCAGTCCCGGGGGTCACATCTCTCCTAGCTCAGGCCAGACGGTGCTCCTCGCTTTGCTGCTGCCGCCGCCGCTGCTGTCTCCTGATGGCCAGCCAGGCCCCCCCTGAGCCGTGCCCAGCCGCCCACGCCTCCCTCATTGTGAGCGCTGCTGCCAGCCAGATGGACGCAGGCAAGCCATGCGCCTCTCTGCGGTGGCAGCCGCCTCGTCTGAACCAGGGAGGTCAGCTGGCTCCGTCTGCAGGCGAGGAGCCTGACGAAGTCAGCCGTTATGTCACTAATCAGGTGAGGGCTCCGTAGCTTGTGCTGGGCCTGTTCTAAGCACTCGACACTTATGGATTCACTGAGTCCTCTCAGCCGCCTCAGAGGTAGGTGCTATTTTCATGCCCATCGTACAGGCGGGAAAACAGAGGCTCAGGAAGGCTAAGTTATTCGGGGTTCATAAAGGAACACTATAAATACCTTTGTGGAGCCGAAACCAGTTTGGCTCAGTGGATAGAGCGTCGGCCTGCGGACTGAAAGGTCCCAGGTTCGATTCCGCTCAAGGGCACATACCTTGGTTGTGGGCACATCCCCAGTGGGGGGTGTGCAGGAGGCAGCTGATCGATATTTCTTTCTTTTTTTCTGATCGATATTTCTAACTCTTTATTCCTCTCCCTTCCTCTCTGTAAAAAAAAAAAAAAAAAATCAATAAAATATATTTAAAAAAAATAATACCTTTGTGGACATCATTTCTACAACTAAGATGAAATGGAACAGTTTTCGAAAGACACAGACCATCACATTTCCGATGGCCAGCATCACCAGTCATCAGAGAGAGGCAAACTGAAACCCCAGTGAGATACCACCTCACACCTGTCAGAATGGCCGCCATCGATACATCAACAAGCAAGTGTCTCTGAGGATGTGGAGACAAGGGAGCCCTGTTGTTGGTGGAAAAGCAGACTGGTGCAGCCACAGTGGGAAGCAGTATGGAGTTACCGCAAAAAATAAAACACTGAACTGCCTGATGACCCAGCGATTCCACTTCTGGGAATATATATGAAGAAACCTGAAACACTGATTTGGAAGAATATATGCACTCCTATGTTCATCGCAGCATTATTTACAATAGACCTGGGAGCAGCCCAAGTGCCCATCAGTCGATGAATGGATAAAAAACCTGTGGTACATTTACACAATGGAACACTACTTAGTCATAAAAAAGAGGGAAACCTTATCTTCTTTCAATAGCATGGATGGACCTGGTGTGTACGATGCTAACTGAAATAAGCCAGACAAAGAAACACAAATCCCATGTGGTTTCACTTCTATGTGGATTCTCATGAACAAAATAAACTAGCGAACAAAATAGAAACAGACTCACAGATACCGAGAACTGACTGACAGCTGTAAGAGGGGAGGGGGCTTGTGAGGCTGGGTGAGAAAGGTGAAGGGATTAAGAGGGGGGGAAATAACACACACAAAAAAACAAACTTGGCCAGGGCTGGTTCGGCTCAGTGGATAGCGCATCTGCCCTCGGATTGAAGGGCCCCAGGTTTGATTCTGGTCAAGAGCACATGCCCAGC